CTGCACTGCAGATGGCAATTTGTAATAGTAGTTTCATGCTTGGAGTGCCTGTCATTCTGGTCTTCTGAATATGGGCTGCTTGTCATGACATGCCAGTTGCTCCTATGATGTCTCTCAGGTAGGTTGTTGTTCAAGAAGAAGGGGGTGGTGAAGGAAAGCAAGAGACAGGAAAAGGAAAATTGTGGGGCTGTCCTGCTTCAAGGTTGTATATGGTGAGATTTTTGGACTTATGTGCAAACATGAGAAGTATAGAATTCTTTATGCCTATTTTTAAAATATATTCTAATTTTTAAATGTTTTTATCATATTCTGTAGGGACTTATGTTCAACATATCAATACTTGATGAAAAATACCTGTTCTATATTATGCCTAAGATGTTTGATATGCAGACAAATAGTGAGGTTAAGCTTAACAGCCTAAGTTGTTTGATAATAACAATAAGCTTGTCTTCTGGATGGTTAACAACCTAAGTTGTCAGACCAAAATTAGAGAAAAAGGAGGGCCACAAGGAAAGCCAACATTTTGGCCCTAGCCTTCTAAGGTCAATTAAGACTCAGGACATATGAGAACTCATACTGTAACATCATGTAACTCGGTAGTGTCCCAAATTTTCTGATCAAGGAGATTATGGGGCCAAAGAGGAAAGTGATCGATGATGTAGAGTGTGCCTAAGGAGAGTCACATGGAGAGAAAACATTCTCTCAGGCTTTCACAGAGAGCACATTGGCCAAGGAATGGCCGTGACTCATCCACATGGCTGACACTGACAAAGGTTCTACAATCTGAGGTACAGGATCTCAGGATAAATCCTGAGGGGATTTCACTGACCTTATTAGACCGAAAAGCTACAACTCTTGTTGCATAGGTCCTGCTTTACCTTGGTCTTAACCATGCAGAAGAAAAGTATAAAAACAAAATATAAGAAGTAAAGCCATGCTGTTATATTGAGCTGTGAGGGACTCAGGTCATCAATTTGTGACATTGCCAGTGAAGAGGAAGACCCAATACTATTGTGGGCTGCTGGACTCTTTTGGAATGTTTTGCTGAGTTTACACACCTATAATATTCAAATAACGGAACTTAACATAAAAAAGGTATACAGATGAACATCCATTTTTATCTGTGTATTCAGATAGGTTGGGATAGATATATAGTTACATTCTCTTAATGAAGAGAATGATTTGTTCTAATGGTGTTTGTAAATGGGATGTCAGGTCCGCATCTTGTACAGCAATTAACCACTAAGAATAATGTATGCAGTGTGTTAATTATTGAAACTGTCCTACCGATTTTATTTGAAACTGTCTCATTGCTATTTGTTTATCAATAATATTATGGGAAAAAATAAAATAAAATAAATAATGAAATTACTGAGAAAGAAGACCATCCCATTCACAATAACCACAAAAAGTTAAATACTTAGGAATCAATCTAACCAAGATGTAAAGTCCTCAGAATGAAACCTATATAACTCTGGAGAGAGAAATTTAAGGTAACAATAGAAAATATTCTTGGATAGATAGAAACAAAACTGTCAAAATAGCCATATTACCAAAAATGACATAAAGTTTTAACGGACTTTTATTTGTACCAGAAATCAAACTCAGGACCTTGAACTTTTCAGGCAGACACTTGTGTTTCTGAGCTATATTCCTGGCCCTGAGTATTAATGGAATTCCAAGTGAAATATCAACAGCATTCTTCATTGAACTAGGAAAAAAAATCTCTAAAATTTATATATAATCAGAAAAGACCAAAGCAGCCGAAGCCTTTCTGAATGCAAAGAGAAAAGAGGGATTTTTGTTTTTGTTTTACTTTTGCCTTTATTAAGGGGGCTACCTGGAATCGAAATAAGGACCTTGGGCTTGGCAAGCATGCACTGTGCTATTGAGCTGAATCCTTGGCAGAAGGAAGAATTATAAACCTAGATCTCAAAGAGATTCTATAAAACCACAATAATAAAACACCATTGTACTGGCAGAAAAATAGAGTAGTAGATCCATAAATAGCCCAATATCTTTAAACATCTCATCTTTAACAAACCAGTTTTAAAAAATGAAGAGAAAAGATAATCTCTTTAATAATGTGGCAGGAAAAACTGGTTATTTATGTATAGAAGAATGAATCTAGAACCAAATCCCTCCCTGCGCACTAAAATTAAACCAAAATGGATCAAAGACAAAAATATAAATACAGAAACACTGAATCTGCTGGAAGATGAAATAAGCAAAACACTAGAATACACAGGCATAGGCAAAAATTACTCAAACAGAAGGATCCCCAAATGCATAAGAAATAACACCAATAATTAACAAATGATAATATATCAAATTAGGACCTTCTTCACAGCAAATGATATAATCAACAAAAAAAGAAAGAAGATAAATGACGCAAAAACATAAAGGAAAAATATTTTCCAGCTACTAATCTGGTAGAAGATGAATACCTAGAAAGAACTCAAAAAACTAAGATTCAAAGAACAAATGACCCAATCAAAACATGGAAATAAACACTTCTCAAAAAAAGAAGAAAAGAAGGAGGAAGAGGAGGA